GGCCAGATACTTCCATTTATCAATGCATTTGGCTGGCTCTAATATGCCAAAACTTCTACATGTCATTATGAAGAATGTGGAATGAAAACAGTTTTCTTAGTTTATTAAGGAATATTTGATTCTCCTTCCACTTAACATACTCACATACTTTATCTAAAGCATTTGCATTTTTCATCTTATTTCACTTTTAAATTGATGCTATTCTTCGTCGAAATGATCTAAATATTCTATACAGTACTGTATAATAAATTAATTGAGGAGTTTACATATAACATGTAGTAAGAGATTACTATATTATTTTTTATGTTATTGCCTTGCTATCAATACTACAATCTAGGGCTGTCCAGACCAGATGCGATTGCGGGCCAATACAAATCACTGTACAGATTGGGAACCGCAGAAAGAAATTTTATATAATAATGTTAAATCAAGTTTTATTAATTTATCAATTGAAATTCATTTATTTGGTATACCATAAAAATAAAATAATGTAGTTTTACCAGTACAAAAGAAAATTTGCATAATTGTAGTAGATTAAAAACATGTCGCGGGTCGCACGTGACCTGCCGGGCGAACTTTGGAGAGCCCTGCTAAAATCTATATAATACTGAATACTAATTTTGTGCGTATAACTTTAAGCATTTTAGAATTAATGTGTTGAATAAATTGCTTTTACTCTAATAACCAGAATTACAAGAAATCTATGTTAAATTTTAGTTTAGATTATTAATTCATAAACCTATTGTTTCGAATGCAGCGAATATAATCTCATATTTAAGATATATTATATTCTATAGATATATATTCTATAGATGATGACAAATAATATGAATAAGTAAAGGGTCCTTGAAATTACAGTATGTAAAATTTAAGAATGGTGTAACCTAAAGATAATTTATTGTACACACTTTTAGAAAATCATACTTTTTAACTCTACTATCTTAAAGAAATTTTTGTCAAGGAATCATAGTTGTATCTATTAATATTCGAAAATATATTTCTTTTGCAATAATGCAAATAGTAACTTTTCTATCTTCATCACAGTGCTAAATATTCTTATATCATAAAAAGTTTCAATATTTCTCTTCTAACAATATCTTTTTGGCTATCTACCAATATCTACCAAATATTAATATACGTGGCACACTACAATGGTCAGGAAATTTAAATAACTCTCTTTTGTCAAACTTACTAGAATGTATATTATGTATTTGAAAACCGACTCTCTAAAACTATTAATGAAGACATTAATGTAATTTCTCTTCTTTGACTTTGCGCAAACCTTCATAATCGATTCTTCTCATACTCTAGAACTCATAATAGAAATCAAATAGTCTCACCTTATTGTATCGTTCCAACTTTTAGTGTTGTATTTAAGATTAATTGCACGTTAATGTAAAATCCTTTAGTCGAGTATAATAAGATTATGTTAATTTTATTTAGACACTTTTGTACCGCAATAAACTAGATATGGGAGACCATTTCAACTCTGTATACTTTTGATGGCTATGTCGAAATGAATCGAGTCCAACTGTCTGCTGTCTCTTTTTGTGAGTTGTTAAACTAATTAACAATACTAATCGAAAGAAACAGATTTTTTGAAAGTCCTGGCAAATATAGTTCGAAAATATAACATTCATCGAAAGCAGATTAATAAAAATATAATATATATGTTATGAATATAAATAATTGATTTGTATCTAACTAGTATTGTCTTTGTAGATTACAACAAAAAGACAATAAAAAAATAATAAAATATTACTGCATTTCCTTATTTGATATAATTTAATTAAATATGTATGGAATTTTTTATATTACCACTGGGAATATTATGTCAAATTGTAAATGAAGTAATTAATATGGCGGCGCGTATTATTTCATTCAATATATATAAATTTACCAAATTCTTCTTAAATCAAATCAATTTAACATATTTAAATTGTATCTTGTGTCAATTTATTTTGTTTGTCAACTTGTTTAACGTTTCTTTTAATTAATTTATTGACTCTGGGTTTTTTATTGTAAAAATATGTGTGGGGTTATCCCAAACTCAATAAAGCACAGGTCCAAAGAAGGTGCCGTGCCAGAGGCAAAGGTTGTTTTTCTGTTCCTTTTCGAGCTCGCATTGGCGTCACAACGACGGCAACAACTTTCACGAACTCGATTTGTTGAATATTTCGAAATGGCAGCAGATAAATTTTGCAAACCTAATAGCGAAGAAAGAATGAAGAAATCCGAACAACGAAAAAAAACAGAAAAGAGCCAAATCTAATCTTAGCCAGTGGGTGATACGGTTAACAATGTCAGAAAACATAAACAATCTAAAATATCAAAGTAGCAGAAGAGAAAAATCGCTCAAGACTCGGTGCGATCGGTTACTTTGTATGGTACGGCGGCTCGCCGATCAGCCGAAACTTAGTCAGTGGGACTAGTAGAGTAGCTTCGCGGGTTTATGGTAATTCCCTTGTTTGGTAATTTGCATTGGACATTGATTCTGTTTTTTCTAGTTCATTTAAGTTTATCTTTATACACTCGTATTTGCATTTTATTTCTGGCGTTTCGGAATTTTTATTGCATCTATTTAGATCTATTTTTGAGCAAAAAATATTATTTGTTTTCGCGATGTTTCATGTTTGTTTTGTCTCTGTTTTCTTTTTATTTTTTAATTTATTTAAAAATGTTTGAATTAAGTTACCTTTCATCTCTATTGGTTTTTACGTCTTTTACTTTGTATTTTTTTGATTTGCTCGGATATGGGAAAAACCACGAAAATAACTTAAATCGATAAAATATTTCTAAAGAGGTTTATAGGTTGTTGACTCTTGACAATAGAAGACTTTGTAATTTAATCGGAGCACTTGCGACCTAAATGTCCTTTTACGATTTATGCACAACTTCAATGATGGGTAGTACTTTACATATCAGTAATAATTATAAATAATAAATTTACTTTTTCAATAATAATTATTATTAATAATAACTTTTATCAATATTATTATTATTATTATTATTAATAATTATTATTAATTATAATAATTATTATAATAATTTATCAGTAATAATTTAATTTTAACAAAAAAATATGTATATATTAATATTAAATTATTATATTACAAATTCAAAGAAATTCAAATTCACATTAAATATATACTTGATTTATTAAAAATTAATAATTTTAGTTATTTAATTAAAATTAATATAATATAATTAATATAAAAGAATTTTCTCCATAACTAAAAATTAATTTAAACTTATTTTAAACTAATAAGCAGAATTTATTTGTAATTATTTGGAATTATTTATTATTTCATTTTTAACTACGAAAATATATATTTAATGTACTATACTAAAATATAAATTCATTGAAAATTAATTAGATAAATATATTATTTATTTAAAGAGCTTCAAAATTTAGCTGAAAAAGGTAAGAACATATTTTTTCGACATAAATTTAATAAATTTTAATCATAGTCGTATTTACGATGGGATAAAGTACCAGATAGAGAGATATAGAGTGTACCTACTACAGAGAGTATATATTATAGAGAGTAGATTACACCATCTGTAGATAATATAATCTACAGATAATAACAACTATACAATTCTAATATACTTTTGTTTTATATGCTTTTACTTATATTAACTATAATTTCGATAAGAAAACTTTTAAAGCACTTGCGAAACTTAACAACTATGAAAAAATAAATGATAAAAGTGTAAATTTTATTCTTATATTTTTCTTATATTTACTTTTATAAGAACCTTTAAAAAATATATACATATTTATACATATTTATGTATTATTGATGTGTATATAATATTATTGCTTAATCTTATTTTAATTAATTAATTAAACTACAAATATAAAATACAACAAAAAATGTATCTAGAACATCTAGATAGAT